TGCATAGCAAGATCTTGTCTCAAAAAAAACAAAACAAACACACAAAATTAACGTATCACTTTTGGAAAAGGCAGAAAAGCCTTATGAGTTGTTTTTGCCTATGTTGTTGCTATTTTGTTATTTTTTCTCTTTAAAATAAAAAATTAGAGATTATGCACAAATTAGCCACCAGACACAAGCTCTGTTCACACTTGCCTGTCCAGTATCTGCCACTTGCTAGCGGGTCTCCTGCCTTGTCCTGTGTGTGAGGCGATCCCAGGCTGTTCAGGAAGATACTCTCAGCACTGCGTTCTTGGTTTTTCTCCAGGAGCAGGATGGGCCAGGTTGGGATGGGGAGGTAAGGGCAAAGCAAGAACGGAGGCCACTGCTGAGATGAGAAGTGGGCAGTGGACACGGAGTGTGTGAGAGCAAGGTGCGGATCCAACGCGTTCTGACTACAGATGCAGTAACACGGATTGCTGGGCGAGGGGATGCTTTGATGACCATTAGTCTTCTCTGACGTCAGGATGTCATTCCCGGGGTTTAGACATTTCGTGGACTAGGGGTGCTGCCCTTCATGGTATGAGAAGCACTATCTTTCAAAGTCCAGTTTTTCGTCAGTAAGGTAGGGAGACCTGGGTTTATGCCAGATCAGCTGTGCGAAGTTCCCTGGAGATGTGGCCACACAGTCCCCGCTCACACCCACTGCTGTGTGTCCCACACCTCTGCAAGCTGCTGGTGCCCCCTCTTGTGTCGCTCACAGGTACAGCAGGTCTCCTGGTTCCATCACAGTACACGCTGTGCCCAGAGGCAGTCACCAGAGACAAAGAACTGAGGAGACCGCACTGCTGTGCCCAGCTGGGATCAAAGGTGCATCTTCATGAGACGGCGATTACTGAAAAGGCCAGCCCGTAAAAGTGGCAGAAATAGCTGAACCACCAGATGCACACATCTCAATATAGAGTACAAGATGAATGAAAAACAGGGAATGCAAGGCTGTCAAAAGAACATAACTTTCTAGCAACATATTCCAAAGACATTGAAATGAATAAGGTGACCAATAAAGAACTTAAAAAGAATGAGTATTCTTTAAAAAAAATCTCAGTGAGATCCAGGAGAATGAAAAGTATCAAATTAGAAAGAAAATATACGATATGAATTCATATTTAAGAGAGTTTTCTCTTTCAAAAAATGAAACAGGAATCTTAGAAATGAAGAGCTCAGCAATTAAGTAAAAAATACAGTCGAAAGACTCAAAAGACTTGATCAAGTGGAAAAAAAATAGCTGAACTTGAAGACAGGTGTTTTGAAATAACCAAGTCACACAAACTGGAAAGAAGGAAAAATGAAGAGGGTATTCAAGAGCCATGGAACATCATTAAATGAATAAACTTCGACACCTTTGGAACACCCAAAGATAAGGAGGAAAAATAAGGTAAGGGCATGGAAAATCTAACCAAAGAAATAACAGCAGAAAACTTCCCCGATCTTGGGAAAGATATGGACATATGTGCACAGGAGTTCTGTGGGACCCCAAAAGACAGACGTGAGACCATCTGCACCAGGACATACAGTAAAACTGGCCAAAGTGCAAGACAGAGATGTCAAAACCTCCAAGAGAAGAGTGCCACATCATAACTGAGGGTATTCCTATTAGAATGACAGCAGATTGCCTAGCAGAAATAATACGTGGAGTGAAATGATCTATTCCAAGTCCTGAAAGGCAATAACTGCCAACCAGGATTGCTGTACGCATCAAGGCCATCCTTCAGAAAGGAAGGAAAAACAGGGACCTTCAAAGACAAACAAAAACAGGGAATTCATGACCACTAGACCAGCCTTTCAAAAGATACTTACGAAGGAAATAGAATTACCATCATAAAAGCATGTGATAGTATAAATCCCACTAGAACAGTAGACCCACAAAGAAAAAAATAGAAAACAAACATTATCAGTGCAGTAAGCTATCAAACTATAAAGATGAACAAAAGAGGAATAATAAAGAATATTCAGCCAGGCGTGGTGGCGCATGCCTATAATCGCAGCACTCGGGAGGCTGAGTCAAGAGGATCACTCTGAGTTCAAAACCAGCCTGAACTACATAGCAAGTCCCTGTCTCAAAAAACAAAAAAACAAAAAACCAATATTCAAAACAATGAGAAAGATCAACAAAATGACAGGATCAAGTACTTACCCACCCATAGTAACTTTGAATGTGAACAGACTAAATTCTCGAATTGCAAGGTAGTCTGGCAGAGATCAGTCTGGGCAATTTAGTGAAACCCTGTCTCAAAATTTTAAAAAGTAAAAAAGTGTAGGGATATAGCTCAGTGCAAAGGCCCTGAGTTCAATCCCTAATACCAAAACTAAATAAACAGAGATAAAAATAAAAAAGGAAACCTGGCCAGCCAGGTGTGGTGGTTGAGGGTTGTGAGTTTGAGGCTGGGCTACATAGTAAGGCTTTGTCTGAAAAAGAAGGAAAAGAAAAGTACTAGCCTGGCAGAATAGATGTTTTAAAAGACTCAGAATAATTTTTTTTTTTTAAAGACTCAAAATGTACTGCCACGCTGCCTACAACAAAGTCAGTCCCAAATAAAGACACGGACTTAAAATGGTATTCCAAGCAAACAGAAATCTAAGGGGAGCAGGAAGAGCTATACTTATATCTGACAAAATACACTTAAACACAAAAGCTGTAATAAGAGACAAAAACAGCTCTATAATGATCAGGGGAAATTCAATAAGAAGATATAATGACTATACATCTGTAGGTACCTAAGATCTCAGCACCCAATTTAATAAAACGAACACTATACCCTAAAAGGAGAGACAGGCTTCAACATAATTTTTTTTTTTTTTTTAAGTGCTGGGGATCAAACTCAGGACCTTGCACTTGCCAGGCAGGTGCTTTGCCATTGAGCTGTATCCCGATCTTCAATATAATAGTCATGGGGGATTTTCACACCCTGCTTTTATCAATGGACAGGTTATCAAGACAGACAATAACCAACATAAACAAGATCAGACTTACATTACAGGTCAAATTGGCTTAAGAGACATTTATAAAATATTCCATCCACAGCTGAAGAATACACTTTTCATCTATGCATAGGACATTCTGTAGCATAGACCGTATATTGGGCCATAAAACAAATCTCAACAAATTCAAAAAAGCTGAAATCACATTCTGTACCTTCTCTGATCACAATGGAATAAAACTAGAAGTCAACAACCGAAGAAATTTTAGAAATTATACACATCCATTGAGACTGAGACACACACTTCTGAATGAGGGGTGAGCCGCTAAGGAATTAATGGGAGACTCAAAAATTCCTTGAAATAAGTGAAAATGGAAACACAACTTAATAAAACTTGTGGGGGTAGCAAAAGGAAGTAAGAGCAACATTTCTACCCGTGAGTATCTACATCAAAAATGTAGAAAAAGAGGCTGGGGGGCTGGGGATTTAGCTCAGCAGCAAAAGCGCCTGCCTGGCAAGCGCAAGGTTGTGAGTT